TTCTTTTTATAGATACCGTTCGTGACTGTCTTATTTATAATCTAACCATGAACAAAACAGAATAACTGATATATCCTTCAATAAATATAATTAATATGATAAATAAATTTATTAATGTAAATATATAAACATACACACACACACACACACGTGTGTGTATAACACACACATGCAAAAACGTATATAACATATATGCTGCTGCTGCTGCTGCTGCTGCTGCTGCTACTGTGTGTGGGTGTATATATATATATATATATTTATATATATATATATTAATATTAATGTACATACCTTCTATAAACGTAGAACAATTTAAATACGCAAATCTAGAATAGTTCTTATTAGGATTAACTTTCTAACCGTGAGAAAATACTCGTAACGTGCCACTTTTCTTCCTTCTTCCTCTGAGGACGATCTTGCACTGTAACAAAACGTTAAAGCGAAGGTAAATAACAAGAGGCGTAACACTTCGTAAACATTGGTTGTAAGTTCGGAATACTGTGGTTTCTCTTCTCTCTCTCTCTCACTCATTTTCTCTCTTTCTCTCTGTCACCATATCTCTCTTTGTTGACATCGTACACCATTTGTATATTTGAACTTGATGAGACACGAGAGAAAGAGACACGTTGGTTGAAACATCTAGTACCTTCTTATAATATATATATATATATATATATATATATATATATATATATATATATATTATATTAGATAGAGATACACATCGTTTTATTTCTTTTTATCAAAATATTATAAGGAACGTTTTCGAAAAAATTCTGAGAATTTTTTTCAATAACTTTTTCTCCTAAAACACACATTCAAAAATATAATACTAAATACATATATATATATATATTTTTTTTTACTATTCGAAACAATTGATTAACGAGACGAAAAAAAAAAACAAAATATGATTGAAAACGTTACAAATTGCACGTTCGCAAGATAACGAAATAGATTCCGTGGTTAAAGTCTCTAAGAGAAATGTTTGATTAATATCGCAAGAATTTTATATACATATATATATGTATATATATGTACGTATGTACATAAATTCCCTCACTTTCTCGTCATTGTTATTCTTTCGTTCATTCAATTTACTCGTCGATATCTCGCGTTCTTACGATGCAATTTTTCTATACATATATATATATATATATATATATATATATATATATATATATATATATGTATTGTAACACGCATGCACGCATACACACATACATATATCAATTGTAGTCTATCGGCCATGTTCTCACGACGATTATACTTTTAAAGAACGCAATCGATTAATCGACCGATTATTGTACTCAATCAACGTTTCACAGGCTCGTTCGTAAATGCTTCCTTTCTTTGAACAGTCACGAACGAAATGCCTATTTTTTTTTCTATCTTTCTTTTCCTTCTTTTCTTTTTCTTTGCACGACGAATCTCGCTTGTAATTAACCTCCCTTGAGTTTCTTTTTCAGAACACACACGGAAAGTAACTTTGATGTAGTAGAAAAGTTGAAAAACGAACAACGTCAAGGACGACACGCGAACAGTTTACAACTTAGCTGTGAATAGACAGTAAGAGAGAAAAAGATAGATAGATAGATAGATAGATAGATAAAGAGAGAGAGAGAGAGAGAGAGAGACAGACAGAAAGAGAGAATGAGGAAAGTTCAGTAATTCTCTCTCTCTCTCTCTCTCTCTCTCTCTCTCTCTCTCTCTCTCTCTCTCTCTCTCTTTTCCTCTCTTTATCTATCTAACTATCTCTATCACTGTTTGACCGCCCTAAAAGGGCCAATGCTTCAAAGGATTCATTCTTCGAAGTAAACAAAACGACAGGCTAATGAACGGACCAACGAAAATCTCCTATTTACATGAACGCGTATCAACGAAAAGCATGCTAAGCCTTACGATAAAGAGGTTTGGCCATTCTGTCCGTACGATCATTAGACGTGACCTTTAACCTATTCGAAACGTATTTAACGAGTATACGAGTACGAATTAATTTTTCTCTTTGAGTATATGTTTTTCTTATTTTCTTTTTTTTGTGAGTGAATATTCTTTTTTTTTTTTATTTGTTTTTCTTTTTCTTTTTATCGTTTTCTTTTGATTGCTGTCTTAAAATAATTTTAAAATTTTTCAAATTTATGAGTCTCATTTTTTTTTTTTTTTTTTTTTTTTTTTTTTTTTTTTTTTTTTAATTTTTATTAAAATTTTAAATCAAAATAGCATTGATTTCCTTTTTTTTTTTTCGCATGCGACGAGTGTTACGCAGAAAGATTCGTCGCAAAAAAAAAAAGAAAAAAAAGAAAATTCTTCCATCTCTTCGTGACGAATAATTGTATTCAATAAACGCAGTTAACAGATTGAGTTTTGTCAATAATATCAATAAATTGGTACAATAAAATTATTGATTGTTCAAAAAGCCAAATGCTATTTCTTTATAATTCAATACGATTTTACTATTGGCGCATAGTTATATCCCAACGAGTATATTCGTTAACTTTTTAATTTCTATTACACACGACGTAGAGAGATATATATTCTTTTTAAATATAACTAAACGATTAACAAAATAAATCACAATTTACATCCTCGTTCGTCCAACCATATCACCGAACATTGCTTCGTTATTTTAAAGAGCAATTAGTAATTTAAAGATAATCTTAAAAAAAAAAAAAAAGAAAAAAAAAAAACAAGAAAAAAGAGAAACAACATAGCTATTAAATTAATTATCAAAAAAAGTCAAGTAAATTAATTAGAAAATACATTTCAGTGATAGTATAATAAAAAAGATATAAGAAAATCAATCGAACTATAATCATATCGATAATATAAACAGAAAAATAAGTCATACAATAAATGGATAATGAATTAAAATAAATCATTTCGAAGATAGAAAATTACGTTTAAAAGAGAAAAAAAAGGACAAAAGGGAAAAAAAAAACGCAGATATTAAAAATTATAAAATAAATCGAATCAAGAGCAATTAATTTGCCGCGCAATTATAAATCGATTGAATACACTGAAAAGAATCCTTTATCTAGATAAAGTACATAATTGAAATAAAATATCAAATCATTGTCCGAGCGAAATACACGAGAATTTCTTTCTTTTCTTTTTAAGTTTATCAGACTTCAAAAAAGAAAAAAAAAAGGAAAAAAAAGAAAAAACTGATTTATCGTTAATCATGATCGAGAGAAAAGCAACCAACTTCCTTTTGTTACCTACACGATATTAAAAGTTATAGTTACAGTACAGTAGTATGTACATTACAGTGATACTAACCGGAGAAATATTGGAAAATGGAAGTTAGAATTTCGTGTTTGAATATGAGAACCATTTGATGTTGTAAAAAGGGATATTAATACCTAGAAAGAGAGAGAGAGAAAGAGAGAGAGAGAGAGAGAGAGAGAGAGAACCGAAGCAAATCAATAAACACAAATTAATGAAACTTTTAAGCTGAGATTGGTACCAGTATTACCTAGCTTGAACTATTTACTAACTCTCTATGAGAGCTTTCATCTAAACCCATATCGTCCACAATTATGAAAATATCGTAATTATACCTATTACGTCCTTTGTCCACTATAATTTTTGTTTTCTTTTGTTCTTCTTTTTTCCTTTTCATACTTAAAATTTTTTTTTTTTTTTTTTTTTTTTTTTTTTTTTTAATTCGCCCTTAAATGCCAGCGTAATTATCCTATAATCGTTTTCACATAAGCAGTTATAGTATCGTACTATTCAATATGTGAAAATATTGTGTTAAAGGAAAACAAAGATATATATACATATATATATATATATATACATAAACTACTACATCATAATCATTATTGCCTCGTCGATAATAAAAATTGACTCACAACGAGTTAACAAGACAATCAATCGATCATTTTCGATCGATAAGGTTTAATGGTATCATTCGTACGCCAATCTAATTAAACAAAATGATTAGCACAGAAATATTAATTTTTTTAATATGATCGATTATTTCTTCTCTCTCTCTCTCTCTCTCTCTCTATATATATATATATATATTGCTCGATACATACGATAGAACGTAAATAATTATTATTCGTAAATTCGTATTAATTCGTTAAAAAAAAAAAAGAAAAAAGAAAAAAACAATTATTTTTCATAAACGTATCGTCGTAAATCGTTAAGAAAAAAATCGATCATATTTTTTTCGAGAATTAACGCGAAGAATTAACAATAAACGTATGACATTGTTATAATCATCGATTTCCCAAATAAAATAATTATCAAACGAAGTTTACTTGAATGAGAAAACGAATACAACGAAGAAAATCCATTACCGAGGATTCATAGTGATAGAAATAAACGAACTTTTCTTTTCGAACTTTTAATGCGAATGACTAATTGAAACAAGCGTCGCATTGAAAATTAATATGAAATCTCGGAATTTAACGAGTTTCGAAGTAAAATTAATACATATCCAAATATTTTCATTTAATATGATCTCTCTCTCTCTCTCTCTCTCTCTCTCTCTCTCTCTCTCTCTCTCTCTCTCTCTCTCTCTCTCTTTTATCAAATTTATGAATTGAATCCGTGAAAATATTTCTCTCTCACATATAACATATAATGTAAATACATATGTACATGCATATAAACATATAGCGTACATTCAAACAGTAACATACATGGATACACACATTCAGCATGTATTAGGTTGGAAACTATGAAACGGGCGTTGAATGAGAATAAATAACTATACAAGAACGCCCGTTTCATAGTTTCCAACCTAATATATATATATATATATATATATATATATATATATATATATATATATATATGTACATGTGATTCTATATATCTATAGATACTTACATACATAGGTTCGTTAGAAACATTTTAACGGCGTGGGGGTACACAAATGGGACCGTTTGCACGTACACGAGAAACGCGTTCGCGTCTGATCGTTTCGAACAGGTTCTCTCTCGGTCGGCCAACATATCGAGATCATAACGCGTCGCCTCGAATTACCGACACGTACGGTCCTTCGATGCGTTCCTGCAGCCTGTTACAGAACGTTGAGAGAGAGAAAGAGAGAAAGAGAGAGAGAGAGAGAGAGAGAGAGAGAGAGGAAGAGAGAGGAAGAGAGATTGTCTAGGATCTCGTTTTAGGCGGTTCTCTGGTCGCGAATCGCGCGCGTCAGGTTGGTCGCGCATTACGTAAAATCTCGCACGTACGCGCGAGTAAACACGAGAAACGTGTACGCTTCGCAAGTATATATGCACCTATATGTGTATGTTCGTGTATGTATATATACACATATATATATATATGTATATGTATGTTTGTATGTATATATGTGATGTGTACGCGCGCGCAAAGAGGATGCACTTTTCGAATGCCGAAGAGTACTTGACGAACACGAGACGCATTTTAAACGAGAATCATCATTCGTTATTCTTATTTACCGAAGAGAATCGCGAACGACTTTTTTCATTCCCATTTCCACGAATTTTCTCCCCTCCTTTTTTCTTTTTTGTTTGTTCTTTTTTTTCTCTCTCTCTTTTTTCCTTTTTTTTTTTTTTTTTTTTTTTTTCTTCATTGTAATCAAACGTAAACATTTTACAATTATTCTTATATATTTTCTATAATATGGATTTAGAGAGTTATGTGAAATTTTTCAATTGAAATATTTTTAAATATTTATTAAAACATTAATTATTAAAATAAAAATTATTTGATTTTGTTTGGTGAGAGCAAAGATTGAGGAAGAAGAGGAAATGAAGGAGGAAGAGGATTAGGAGGAGGATAGAACAAACGTAACAACGTTATTTATTTCCGATTAGATATACGTTTTGGAAATTATTACAAAATCAGTTTTATTTCTTTAAATGAGAATCTGTAACTTTTGATATGGAATCTTATTTTAAGCGAGAGAAAAAAAAAAAAAAAAAAGAAAAGAAAAGAAAAAGCGAAGAAACAACTTTGGGTCTAAAACATTTCGTCGCCAGTTGCCAGTCGCCAGTCGCCAGTCTCCAGTCGCCACAAAGCACGTTCATCATCATTAGTTCTACCAGGCCATTATCATCATTAGTTCTTTAGTACTGTAAACGCCCCTCCCAGGGTTAGTTCAGTTGAAGTAAACCATCACTTCTACATGGAATGAATCGATATGGGGGTGACACTTCAATGTAAAAGCTCAGAGCCATACTCTAATGGGTTAAATTCGAACCAACCCCGTATAACCATAGCTCACGTGAGCCGGATGTTGGCAGTGTTTTTCTGGACTGATCGACCACCTTCAATTGGAACTATTTTGTTTCTATCGATTGTACGATTTTCTTTAACCCATTGTCAATAGTAACCAATTACCTTATTCTAACTGGCAATTATGCCCTATAAATACCGAGACAATCGCGTTATATTGAGCCAGACATAGATCCAAGAGTTAACATCGAACCAATACTACAACAATGATTTACCTCTATTCCAAAATTGAGCCAGCTCAAAAGCTATATCCAGATTTAGATTTAAATTATAATAAGCCTTCACTCCGGTGAGGAATAACCATATTTTTCCTGTACAAATCTTATCATTTCATTGGTTCACTTTATTACCGAATATCTTTGATTGGATCTCAGTGATACCATAATGCCAATACAACTTAAACACCAACAATTGTCATCAACTGCTAGGAGAGAATCATAGGAACTAAAGAATAGTTCTCATCGAACCATTCCAAATGGAAGTGATTCCTTTCTTTGTTTTTGATGTATGATAATAATATTAATAATAGTAATTAATACAGTATAATAAATTAAATGAACTTTTTTAATTTGCATTTAGAATTTTTAAATATTTTTGATTTACAATTATGTAATCTCTATCTAAAGCTGAAGTTTTGAAGTCGAAGGATGATAATGTATTGACAGGATAGTATAACGTCATGACTATAAGGATCCAATCGAGTCGCGATGGCACCGAGTCGTGTTTTAAATCGGCTTCCAAAACCCCCCCACGACCTTGCAATGACTGGCGTGTACACGACACAATGGTCTACCACGATAACCGCGAGATATATGGATACCGCAGGACAGGGACTCGGTTATACGGAAGTGTGCAGGTTTGTGAGCTGTGTTAGATTCCAGGCACCTTTATTGCATTCCTGCCCCCTGGAAACACTGTAATCAACCATATGATTGTTTCTCCTTGTGGGGTAACGGGACTAAACCTGGTATGCCAAGTCCTTGTCTGATTCTAAGGACTTCGAGGATGGTTAGTTAATGATGGTTAACCTAAAGTACCGTGTGAAGTTAAACACCTCTGACATCATCAATGATACTCTGTGACAAGAAGTAACAAATTGACAATATTCGCTGATAAACAGCGACGTTCTGTGATTAATTTGCAAAAATCACCAATTGATGGTGACAATAGGCGACATTTTGCGATAAGTAATGACATTTGCCGACAATTGATTACTATCGACAACTATTGCCGACAATCTGCAACAATTGGCAACAATCGATG